TATTTAACTAGTTTTTGTGTGAAAAATATCAATATTATTATCTTGAAGGAAAGTAATTGATTAGGAATATAAAACTTTGTAACAACCATTTTATTCCTCCAGCTGTGGTCGCCTTAATAAATTATACTCAATTAATTATAGTAGAGTTTCGTTAAATGGTTATAAGTTATGAAATAAATCCCTAAACGTTATATCTGAGTACAAACAAAAATTCCAAATTCCGAAGGGCAGTTCTCAGATTGTTTTAGGGGGATGAATATACTATGCGGAACTTGACTTACTGGTGGTTGAATCCTGGGCGCCCTGTTAAGTGAATTTATAAATGGCAACAAAAAGCATAAAATTTACGGCGAAAAATAGCAATTTGAAGGAAGAAAAGCGAGGAACGCCTGTTTTGCTCTAAATTACTTGGCACAGCAATTTGGGTATACAGAGCCTGATGACCTCATTAATTTTCAATCTGAGCCAGATTACAGTCCGCTGGCGGGAGTATGATGAATCTCTTCCAAGTCCCCCACCCAATTCTAATTTATGATGATAAATGAGTTTCAATCAAGCGGCAAAAGTGAAGTTTACGGCAGCCAGTTGCCCGTTTTGACCACTCGGCTCCTTAAATCTCTGGATTTTACAAAGAAATTTATACATAATTCGATTTGACTTTTTCCTTCGGAGTGGTGCGAGGATTTTCATTTCAATATTTATGAATTTCTGTTTTTGGAACGGCCATTTTTATGCGCGGTTACCAATTTCAAAGATCAGAGGCTTATTGATTTTGACTTAAATCTCTAATTAAGAATTTGCCTTGGTCCACATTTGCATAATCTGTTCGCAATCCATTACTTCTATTTATTTATTTATCGGTTCGAAACAGAGACAGTTTGGTCACCTGCTGTTCGTGGGTATATGAAATGACCCATTTAGTGAACGAACGGCTCCTATTTATTTAAATAATCTGGCTATAATTCAAGTGACCAAGGGTAAACAACAAAAGGTACCTATATGAATGAAAAACTTTTGAACCCTTTTCAGCGAGGAAAAATAAATGACATTGCAGGTTCGTTTCGCAATCAGTTTGGAAATTCCGGTAAAAAGGCGGTACAACGAAAGTGTGTTTATCCCATAATTTATTGTCGATACACTTTTGGTCGAGCGTCTGCAAAGGTAATTATGGTTTTATCTGCCAGCGGTGCGGATACGTAATAAATGTTTGATTTTAAAGGGTAAGAGGCATGCGATAGTTTATCTGTAGAATTTTGTTCAGAAACCCTTCTTTCACTGAATGGTTGCTGAGTTTAAGGAATTAGATAAGACGACGAGGGGTAGCCGGCAGTCTATATGTTTATACCCGTTACTCGTAAGGTAAAAGGGTATACTAGATTCGTTGAAAAGTATGTAACAGGCAGAAGGAAGCGTTTTCGACGATATGAATGTAAAATCTGCATTCAAATTTAGAAATTTATTTTTTTTAATTTTTTTTGTCATTTTTTTTATGTATGATGTAGAAATTCAAAAAAATTAGGAAATGTCCTAAGACTGAAGTTCCATACTCCATAACTCAACCAATCTTAATCGGATTTTGAAGTGGTATACCTCTAAATGTTTCTGGCGCAATTCTCTAAAAAACTGCATTCAAATTTAAAAATTTATTTTTTTTAATTTTTTTTGTCATTTTTTTGATGTGATGATGTTGTAGAAATTCAAAAAAACTAAAAAATACCCTAAGACTGAAATTCCACACTCCATAACTCAACCAATCTTAATCGGATTTTGAAGTGGCATACCTCTAAATGTTTCTGGCGCAATTCTCTAAAAAACTGCATTCAAATTTAAAAATTTATTTTTTAAAATTTTTTTTGTCATTTTTTTGATGTGATGATTTTTTAGAAATTCAAAAAAATTAGGAAATGTCCTAGTACTGAAGTTCCATACTCCATAACTCAACCAATCTTAATCGGATTTTGAAGTGGCATACCTCTAAATGTTTCTGGCGCAATTCTCTAAAAATCTGCATTCAAATTTAAAAATTAATTTTTTAAAATTTTTTTTGTCATTTTTTTGATGTGATGATGTTTTAGAAATTCAAAAAAATTAGGAAATGTCCTAAGACTGAAGTTCCATACTCCATAACTCAACCAATCTTAATCGGATTTTGAAGTGGCATACCTCTAAATGTTTCTGGCGCAATTCTCTAAAAATCTGCATTCAAATTTAAAAATTAATTTTTTAAAATTTTTTTTGTCATTTTTTTGATGTGATGATGTAGAAATTCAAAAAACTTAGGAAATGTCCTAATACTGAAGTTCCATACTCCATAACTCAACCAATCTTAATCGGATTTTGAAGTGGCATACCTCTAAATGTTTCTGGAGCAATTCTCTAAAAGACTGCATTCAAATTTAAAAATTACTTTTTTAAATTTTTTTTTGTCATTTTTTTGATGTGATGATGTAGAAATTCAAAAAACTTAGGAAATGTCCTAATACTGAAGTTCCATACTCCATAACTCAACCAATCTTAATCGGATTTTGAAGTGGCATACCTCTAAATGTTTCTGGAGCAATTCTCTAAAAAACTGCATTCAAATTTAAAAATTTATTTTATTAAATTTTTTTTGTCATTTTTTTGATGTGATGATGTTTTAGAAATTCAAAAAAATTAGGAAATGTCCTAAGACTGAAGTTCCATACTCCATAACTCAACCAATCTTAATCGGATTTTGAAGTGGCATACCTCTAAATGTTTCTGGCGCAATTCTCTAAAAATCTGCATTCAAATTTAAAAATTTATTTTTTTAAATTTTTTTTGTCATTTTTTTGATGTGATGATGTTTTAGAAATTCAAAAAAATTAGGAAATGTCCTAAGACTGAAGTTCCATACTCCATAACTCAACCAATCTTAATCGGATTTTGAAGTGGCATACCTCTAAATGTTTCTGGCGCAATTCTCTAAAAATCTGCATTCAAATTTAAAAATTAATTTTTTAAAATTTTTTTTGTCATTTTTTTGATGTGATGATGTAGAAATTCAAAAAACTTAGGAAATGTCCTAATACTGAAGTTCCATACTCCATAACTCAACCAATCTTAATCGGATTTTGAAGTGGCATACCTCTAAATGTTTCTGGAGCAATTCTCTAAAAAACTGCATTCAAATTTAAAAATTTATTTTTTAAATTTTTTTTTGTCATTTTTATGATGTGATGATGTTTTAGAAATTCAAAAAAATTAGGAAATGTCCTAATACTGAAGTTCCATACTCCATAACTCAACCAATCTTAATCGGATTTTGAAGTGGCATACCTCTAAATGTTTCTGGCGCAATTCTCTAAAAAACTGCATTCAAATTTAAAAATTTATTTTTTAAATTTTTTTTTGTCATTTTTTTGATGTGATGATTTTTTAGAAATTCAAAAAAATTAGGAAATGTCCTAATACTGAAGTTCCATACTCCATAACTCAACCAATCTTAATCGGATTTTGAAGTGGCATACCTCTAAATGTTTCTGGCGCAATTCTCTAAAAATCTGCATTCAAATTTAAAAATTTATTTTTTTAAATTTTTTTTGTCATTTTTTTGATGTGATGATGTTTTAGAAATTCAAAAAAATTAGGAAATGTCCTAAGACTGAAGTTCCATACTCCATAACTCAACCAATCTTAATCGGATTTTGAAGTGGCATACCTCTAAATGTTTCTGGCGCAATTCTCTAAAAATCTGCATTCAAATTTAAAAATTAATTTTTTTAAATTTTTTTTGTCATTTTTTTGATGTGATGATGTAGAAATTCAAAAAACTTAGGAAATGTCCTAATACTGAAGTTCCATACTCCATAACTCAACCAATCTTAATCGGATTTTGAAGTGGCATACCTCTAAATGTTTCTGGAGCAATTCTCTAAAAAACTGCATTCAAATTTAAAAATTAATTTTTTAAATTTTTTTTTGTCATTTTTTTGATGTGATGATGTAGAAATTCAAAAAACTTAGGAAATGTCCTAATACTGAAGTTCCATACTCCATAACTCAACCAATCTTAATCGGATTTTGAAGTGGCATACCTCTAAATGTTTCTAGAGCAATTCTCTAAAAAACTGCATTCAAATTTAAAAATTTATTTTTTAAATTTTTTTTTGTCATTTTTTTGATGTGATGATGTTTTAGAAATTCAAAAAAATTAGGAAATGTCCTAAGACTGAAGTTCCATACTCCGTAACTCAACCAATCTTAATCGGATTTTGAAGTGGCATACCTCTAAATGTTTCTGGCGCAATTCTCTAAAAAACTGCATTCAAATTTAAAAATTTATTTTTTTAAATTTTTTTTGTCATTTTTTTGATGTGATGATGTTTTAGAAATTCAAAAAAATTAGGAAATGTCCTAATACTGAAGTTCCATACTCCATAACTCAACCAATCTTAATCGGATTTTGAAGTGGCATACCTCTAAATGTTTCTGGCGCAATTCTCTAAAAATCTGCATTCAAATTTAAAAATTAATTTTTTTAAATTTTTTTTGTCATTTTTTTGATGTGATGATGTAGAAATTAAAAAACTTAGGAAATGTCCTAATACTGAAGTTCCATACTCCATAACTCAACCAATCTTAATCGGATTTTGAAGTGGCATACCTCTAAATGTTTCTGGCGCAATTCTCTAAAAAACTGCATTCAAATTTAAAAATTTATTTTTTAAAATTTTTTTTGTCATTTTTTTTGTTGTGATGATGTTTTAGAAATTCAAAAAAATTAGGAAATGTCCTAAGACTGAAGTTCGATACTCCATAACTCAACTAATCTTAATCGGATTTTGAAGTGGAATACCTCTAAATATTTCTGGTAAAATTCTCTAAGAAGCTGCATTCCAATTTTTTTAAGTATGTTGAAAAGTATTTAACAGGCAGAAGGAAACCACTCCTACGCCCACAATCCGCCCAAAACTGTAACACCCATACTTTTGCAAAATTTGATATTTTTTCATTTTTGAATATATCCTAACATAACAGCCTCTTTCCTCTGTTCTGTTTTTTCACAAAAAATTCAAAATGAGAAATTCAATGGCGGACCAATCATAAGATCGGAGGCAGTAAAATATTGGCGATGTGATCGTATCCATTTTTCGTGCACTTGTAGCTGGCCATGCGATTTCCGAATTCCACGGCAACTGAAAGGGATCTTTCCCGGATATAGAGGGCGTAGATGAAGGCGCCCATGAAGGTGTCTCCTGCACCCAAGGCGTCCACGATGCGTCTGGGCTTGTGGGGCTTGGCGTGGGTGTAGTTGCCATCGTGATCCATGATCCCGGCACCCTGGTCGCCCCAAAGGACGACCACATATGGTCGCTTCAGGTTGAGGCCCCAACGCATGCGCAATCGCTCGTCCAGCTGCAGGCAGGCATCCTCCATGGAAGCCCAGCTATTGGTTTGGGCCAGCTTCTTGGAGAATATGGCATAGTCACAGTAATCCATCAGAGGCCACATGTCGTCCAGGTTATTATCAAAATAGATCGATAGCGCGATCTTCTCCTCCCTGGTCGCATTGTATGCCTGAATGTCCTTGACCATCGGCAGCGATTTATCAAAGTATAGTGCCCGAATGTGAATCCAGCCATATCGGTTAAGGTCCAGCTTCCGGAAATCCTCAATGCTGACGTAGGGGAAATCATTATTGCAATAGACAATGTTCCGCGTCTTAGTCGCCTTGCAGAGTATCACGGATGAGAAGGGGGCACCCTGGTCACAGGTTGGACAGTTCTCGATTATGATGCCCCGTCCCTTCAAGTCGTCTTTCAGCACTTCGAACACACTCCAATTGCTGAGCATTCCTAAGAGCTCCACTTTGACCCCCAGATTCGCGAGCACAGTGCAGTTGTTCGAAGCCCTTCCACCGCGAGTCCAGTATCCTCCAACAACCTGTTGCGATGAATTTTCCCTGGGAAAATGCTTTATGGTCGAGACGAAGTCAATGGTCGTGGTGCCGATGCACAACACCGTCTTCTTGCCCACTGCCCAGCTCAGTTTGTTGCCATATTGGGTCATATTGAATACTGTTTTGTGAATTTCAATGTTTTTAAATCGTTGTTCCAAAAAGTACCTGCCTGATTTGATCAGGAAATTTAGATATTCAAGAATATCAACAGTAACGATAGCTGAGATCTAGAAGTCTGTGATACCAAGAGCTATTCCAAAAACAAACCCAAATTATGGTAAATTGAAATTAAGGGTGGAGAATCGTAGAAAGGAGTGGACAGGAGCCATAGACAACCGCCAGGATGACCCAATGGTGTGCGATCAGTGTGATGAAGGCCGTGCTCTGCGTCGGCTGCACGGAGGTGGACTACGTGACCACCATGGAGAAGGTCGACTTCCAGTGCGACAGGTGCAGCACCCAGAATGGAGCCCTGCAGCGCAGCGGAAGATCCTCGAACGTTAGTACGGCCCTCCGGCTGCTGGGCGCCAATGTGGAGCTGTTCGGCGTGCTCACCCGTAATCCCACCTATCGCATGATTGTGGACGATCTCGAGCAGCGGGGCATCGACATCAGCCACTGCACATTTACGGACGAGAGTCCGCCCTTTTCCACCATCGTCCAGGATCGCTGGACTCGCCGTTGCACGGTGGTATACTGCGACAAGCCATTTCCGTATGTCACGGCTGCCGATTTCCGCAAACTGGATCTCGATCAGTACGGCTGGGTGAACTTCGAGGCACGGAGTCCGCGTGAGACCTGCGATATGATACGCCTAATCCTCGATCACAACAACGGGCGGGATGAAAGGGATCGCATTGTGGTGTCGCTGCAGATATTTAATTCCTTCGCACAGGTCGTGCATCTGATTGCCATGTGCGACTATGTGTTCGTCACCAAGTACATAGCCGAGTCCAGAGGCTGGAACTCGCCGCTGGAAACCTGCGAGGGCATCAATCAGCTCCTGCGCATGCCAAGGGACATCCGGGTGCGCCGACCCTGCGTCATTGTGCCGTGGAGCAGCCTGGGTGCAGGTTGCATGACCACGGAAGGGCAGTACTTCGAGCTGCCGGCACACAAGCCCAAAAAGATCATCGACCGGGTTGGCGATAGTGATTGCTTCACGGCGGGCTTTATTTATGCCGCCTTTGTGCGGCAAAGGCGGTTGGCCGAGGCCGTGGACTTTGCCAATGCCGTGGCCAGCTTCAAGTTGGGCTATGTGGGGTTCGACTGCCTGGGCCACTTGCCAATCGAAGCGGTCCAGCTGCCCGTCAGAATGCGGGTTGGCAGTGAGGTGTCCTCCGACGATGAGGATAACGGCGATCAGCCGAATAGCTGCCGGAAGCACCTGTTGCGCCCAATTGAGCTCCTGCAGGACAATGCCCCCCTTGCACCCATTAGGCAGGAAGCGCCGACTGCGACTCCGGTGGGGCTCGAATATCCTGGCTAGGAAGGCGTTCCATGTACCATCTTACATATTCTACAAATTTCAAACATTTAATGTATGGTGGCATATTTCATTACAAAGAGTTTGTTTTTAACTAGTTGTTTAGAGCTGTTAATAAGTTCATTTTGTTTGATCAATATAAAAAGACGGTAGGCATGTTAGCTGTCAGTTTCGATCGCTATAAGGGCAATTAATTGGTCATTTACCAAGAAGGTATGGATCGATTCTGCACGCAGGACAGGCATACCTGATTAAATCCAACTGCTCTATTTAGATACATAAATAAGCAGGCTGTAAAGGCATGGCATAATTCCTGACACAATGATTTAGTTGCGTTTCTCACTGGGTGGCTGCTCGGCGATGTCGCAGATAGCCCTTGGAGGAAATGGCGGAGCCAAGGAGCATTATGTATGTGTGTGCAAATGGATGCTGTGGAAGAACTGTTGCCACAGCATAATTGCCACATGATTAATTCTTGAGTCAGGCGAAACTTGTCCGGGTCCGAGACCAAGATAAATGCTAATAGATATACATTTATGTAGACGTTGGGCGTTGGGCATTGGACGTTGGACAAATGTTGTGAATGGCGGAGCACGGGGCTATTCGGTCATTTATCATTTCGGACAACAGGCAGGCAGCAACAACAATTACCACGAATATAAGTGACAATTTTCATGCATTTCCCGGGCCACGCGGCGTATGAGCGATGAAGATAATTTCGGTGCGAAGCAGCACAGATTACCAGAGATGGCGATGCCAAGCCAGCGCAAATAATCCTTGGCCAGCAAATCGATAAATGTCCAACCGTTTGACGCGGTTGGAGCAGGGAGCTCCCGTCCTCGAAAAATGCTGCATCTGGATGTGGCACACCCTCATAAAAACATGGAGCCCAGGAACTTATTTCCTTTTGGGGCTGCTGTGTCGCCGCCATACGAATATTAACCAGAATTATGTGTCGCAAGATTGCAGCTGCCAACTTGAGGGGGAGCTGCACTTAAAATTTTTACTATAAAATCATCTGAGTAATGCCCAAAAACTTTCTTTTCCACAAGTTATTTTAGCAAAACTCACTATTTGAACTTTAGTCGTTTGAATAAGAATAATATATTTTTGCATGCTGACTTTATCTTGCAGCTGGGCTCTATTTTTCGAGTGTTTCACCCATTTTGGGGTCTGGAAAGGGAGAAGATCGTGCCGGAGACGCTTTCATTTGCCTTCCGGATTCGTTTGTGTATGTTGAATGCAACCGGCAAAAGCCAAAGAGCAAACCGACTGCACACACTAACAATGTGAATGTCGAGCGGCATTTATGTAAATTACAAATTATTTCAGCAGTAAAAATTCAGTGGGAATTGTTTTTGGCAAGGCAACGTCGTCGGCAAATTCGTACTAAAAAGAGGGTTCATCCAAGGGGGCCACTTTTGACTCTTTTGTGCCGCACAATAAGATACCCTGTTCTTTACATATCAATACATCAGGGCAGCTTTTAAAAACATTTGCTCTATTTTCATACCTTAAAAAGTAGTCATATTCATAATGAATAAGAAATAATTGAAAGTAGCTTTTAAATTCTACTTTGAATAGATTCCCCGACTATATACATTAGAAAATATCTTGTTCTTTTGTAATTCGTAGACGTTTATTACACTTTGATTTTAGGGAATTATGCGAAACCAAAGATTCAGCGGAGTTACTGGCAACCAAATAAGCAACAATAGCTGCTAGTATAATAACTGTCATGACAATGGCCGTGGCAATTGGGAAAAACATTTGCTTTTTTAACGGCATTGGCTGTTAAGCAGATATAAAAGATAGTTATTGTTATTATTCGAGCTGCACACACAATCCAAGACTAAAATAGTGACAATGCAGCCTCTTAGTTTCGACTTTTGTTTATAATTTCCTCGCGTTAGGACAATGGTAATGCAGTTGGAATAAACATGCAAAATGATACAAACGATTATCTCTTAAAAATACTCATTATTCAGTTGTTTCTTTGGGTGGAACTGAATGTAAAGGAATTTAGCTCTATTTCTTATCTAAGGAATTTTATTTAAATGATTCAGAGGCATGGATGTTAGAGTCCGTAGTATTTTTGAAAACAGCTCAATCCCATTTCCATACGCCCGCATCCGATTTGCGATGTCTGTGTGTGACTGCAATGGTGCATAGATTATGCAGTTGGCTTCAGTTTATGATTGGCAAATCCAATATACGCTCTGCACTTTGGCACCAGATTGGCAACCCGAAAGATGGCCGCCTGGCTGCCACTTTATGCCACTTGCACGCATATTTCGTCGGGCACACACACACACACACACACACCGCACCCAGTGTACACACACTCACACACACACACGCGGACATACACGTCCACAGTGCAGACACAAGATGGCGGCGCGCCCATTTCCGGCTGATGGGGCAATAGCGTGATTATCGGCAGACGGGCTGCGAAGGGCAAGCCGCAGCGACAAAAAATGTCTGTGTGAAGAGCCAAAAGGGGAGACACCTCGAATATCAAATACCCTCAAATGGGAAACTTTTGTTTTTGAACAACAACTCAAAAGCTTAATTTATATTTAGGCGGTTTTTAAGTTTCTTGTTACTGTTTAGGCATACATTTGCTAAGCTAGACTATTGATTCTTGTTTCCGTTATAAATTTTTCATATGGCTAATATTCCGATTGGCGTCTGGCGACTTCAGGAAATGGACACACACATCCAGTTGGGGAAAATTGCTGCCGCAGCAGTAAGCTGCGAAATAAGCCAAAAATATGCGTTATCAAGCTTGGCCAATATAAAAAAAACGCACACACATACCCGTGCATTTTGGCCAGCGCACAGCTGGAAAAACAACAACCTTGCACAGTGGCACTAGTCGATTATTCTGTATTACCAAAAACATTACATTATTTTATTTTCTAAAATCTAAAAAGGAATACAACATTCTTTCTTTAACTTTACTTTAGAATATTATTTTTTTGCTGTTACAGCACAAAGTTTTCTTATGATATTTTTATTGATAAATTCTTATTCTTCCCAAATTTTATTCTAAAAACAAAATAAAATACTACGTAATTTTGATTTTTCTGTATATTAAATTCCCTTTTTTTGCCTTTAAACAAGGTCCTATAACTATTTGAAATTGGTTTCCATTCAGTTGCATAGTCTTCGGACCACTGTGCCCGTGGCGTGTGTAAGTGGACCACTTGCATTTGAATCGCTGCTGACGCTGGCCGCCATCGCAATTTTGCATTACTTTGCATAACCAAGGGGGGCCTTCCGTCGACGGGTGGCACACATATAGATGTACTATACATGTACATGGGCGGAGGGAGAGGGAGAGGGAGAGGGGGGCGTTACAGCAACACCCGACACTGTGTCTAGAAAATGGAGTTTTGCCGCTGTGCCTTTATTTAACCATAAACTGTTCTTTCATGGTCATTATGGAGGCTTCCTTTGCTGGATTCCGCACATTATTCTTATTTATCGGTGGCGCAGCAGCACGAGTGTAGTTCGGTGGCATTGGAGGATTAACCTTTCCATATATTACGTGGAACGTTTGCTCTCCTTTCATATTAGCATGTGGCCGAAATCTGTTTAAATATGGCAAAAGTGGCATTTGTTAGTCAAGAGACTAGACTCGAGTTGAATTCAACGCACTTTAAGCCATTAAATGCTTCTTGTAAAGCAAATACCTTCAGTACACAGGCTGGAAATGGTTTCGGAACCAAATCTGTTTGCATTCCTCATCCATCATGGACTGGAGTCGCCCTTCCTATAACAAGGCTTAAAAACCCAGTCGTGAATGGGGGTTTTTCCCACTTTTATTGTCTTGGTTAACTCTGCTTTGATTTTGCAGCGAGGGGGCAATAGAAAAGAAAACCCTTTTGGGGTGTTTAGGTTTAATAAGGTTTTCGCTGTTGTGCTCGAATCAATCAACAAAAACGTGGCAGATCCTTTCGCATGTTTCTCTGATTATTACGCTCATTACATAAAAAAACATTTCACTTTACTTCAGTTCACTCAGCTTTGTGCAGGAATTTGTTATTATTTTCGTGCTTGGCTGCCTTTTCACAGTTCGCCGACTAAAATGAACTTCAGTACGGGCGTATGGGGCGTAACACACGTGGGGTAAAAGTCATTGGTTATCCTTTTACTCGCAGTTTTTCTTATTTTTCTTTTAGTACCCAGTGTTTGCCGGAAACTGGGGCGTATCGAAATAGGCGAAGGCTTGTTGGAAGCTATGAAAAAAAGGACAGAGACATCAGCTGTATATGGTGACTATTATCTCTGCGTTCTTAAATATGATATATATATCATAGAGTTTAGTGTATTGTTTTCTAACGACTTACATACTAATTGCAATACCATAGGGTATGTGCCATGCGAATGCCTCTTTTTTAATGTATTTCCATTCAATCCGTTTGAGTTTCAGTGCGTGGAAATCCTTTCAAGTCGCAAGGGGCCCACACGCGAAATTCATTTGTTAACCCGGAAGGGATAGGATGACGTCGACTGTCGCCGATGTCGTAGTCGCTGCCTAATCCACTGCAGGCGCTACCCGAACCCAAACCCACAGCCAAACCCAAGCCCAAACGGAACCGGGAGCCAGGACACAGAGCTCAGGATACAGGACGCAGGACGCAGGACACAGGACCCGGGACCTGACAGTGTTTGCTTTCGCGAGAAATGATTGATGAAGGTATCGCCGAAGAGTTGAGCAAAAGAAAAATCAAAACAAAAAAGTGGCAGGCGACTAATCTGGGTGGAGGAGCATGTCCTGAAAGGAAAGCCATTTAAATGCATTAAAGTACTATTTTTCAGGCTTTTATGTGTTTCCTCTAACAAGGATATCAATCATCAAGCCCTCTTCCAAAAACTGGCGTATTCGCAATTAGGAAGAAAAGTACTTGCTTAAAAATGTACCATTTCCTTTTTTATGTTAAGCACAATCAGAGGTCTCTGCATATTTTATTACACACTCAAGTTGCTCAAGTTGTTCAAGTTGTCCTGCAGGATATGGGCTGCATGTGCATAAAGGGTTTCATCAATTATGTCACTTTAACTAAT